GGGTGGCAGGCGGACAGAAGTGGGTGGTGCGGGTGGGTTGGGAGCAGCGGCGTGTGGGTGGTGGGAGTGGGGTGAGGGAACCCAATACCACCCTCCTCGCCCATTCAATCCTGCAGTATTAGGGGGAGCAGTCGAGCCTGTTCCCTCCACTCCCTCCTTTCCTTCCTCCCTCCTTCCACCTCCTCCTCCTCCTCATCCTCATCCTCCCTCTCTCTGCCAGCACACATCCAGCGGCAGAAATGTCTAGGACGACGAGGATGATGTCGGCGACGACGACGGATCACTACCGAGCCTGTTGGTTGCCGCTAGTGATGGGATATGAAGCGCTTCGAATATAAATACGGGGTGGGACGTGTGGCACCGATGGGGCGAACGGGATAACGTGACTCAAAATTCCTCGAAATTTTATCCTTTTCTCTGCATTTTTCGCATTCTAAATCACATTCTAAATCTGGAATTATTTTATATGAGTAGTTTGAAAATATTTTCTTGTACAGTCAGTTTAGATTTTTGGAAAATACTTCTTCTATTTTGTTACATAGAAGAAATTTATCCTTAATTTTGTATTGTAATCTTAATGTAAGCTAAATTTCTATAATTTGGAAATTATTAAGAATTAAGTGCAATCACTCACAGGTCACAGTATAGGAATTTCATGATAAAATGCTAAGGATTTTTCTTTCTGTATTAATTTCGATTAAGCTAGAATTTTTCAACAAACATTTCAAGTAATGTATAGAGGAGGTATAAGAATTTTGATGTATGAAAATTTGGGCACATGGCAGATAAATTTAGGGATTTTGAAAATTTAGGAAATTTGTATAACTATGGAAAGTTCAGCAAATTTTTGAGCTCTGAGATTTGAGTGCTTTCGAGTTGAATATTTGATTCAAGGTTGAATATTTGAAAATTTAAAAATATGCAGATTTTCATGTTTAGATTAGAAACTCATAAGTCTCAAGGTTAATGAATTTGAAAAATTTCCAGAATTTTTCAGACACCATATTTCAGAATTTGTCGATTTGCAAATTTAAAGATTTGAGAACATTGAGATTTATTTAAGTTATTTTAATTGACTTGCAAATGTAAAAACTTGTATTATTTTAACTTGAATGGCAACATCAATAGTAATAAAAGATTAAAAGTCACCAGTTAAGAATATTAAAAACCCTATTAATAATAGAGGAGCAGAACAAATGTAACCATTGAAAGTTTTTCAAGCATTTATACTGGAAATAGATATCAAGGCAGGAACAAGGTACTTGAAGATCCAAATAAACAAAATGGAGACGCCAGAAACAGCCTTAAATCTTAAATAAAACCGCCAGAAACAGTTCCACGGCTTTCGTGATCTGATTTGGATTAGACTTGATTTCAGTAAAAACATATGCAACATTGCACATTTATAGCGTATGCTATGTAAATAGATTTCTGTGATTTATATAAATTTTTTAGTATTTTAATTTTGCTGCAATATTCTTGATTTGTGCAATCTCATTTATGAATTAAATAATGCTTCTTTAGAATGAAAGTACAGTAGGTTTCAAGAATTAATAGACTTCTAAAACCTTTAAGGTGCGTTTGCTCCATTCAGATAATTCAAGACTTTATATTAGACAAACAGGTAAATTGAAAAAATCTATCTCTTCCAAATATTTTTTTTACTGAAAGATATTTAAAGTTGTACATCATACGAAACTTTATATTAGACAAACAGCTGAATTGAAAAAAATTTATCTTCTCTAACTATATTTTCATTGAAAGATATTTAAAATTGTACATCATACAAGACTTTATATTAGACAAACAGCTGACTTGTAAAAAATCTACTTTCTTCAACTATATTTTCACTGAAAGATATTTAAAATTGTACATCATTCGGGATTTTATATTAGACAAACAGCTGACTTGAAAAAAATCTACCTCTTCCACCTACATTTCCACTAAAAAGTATTAAAAATTGTACATCATAAAATTAGTAAATACTGCAGTTGCATAAATTGCTTCTAAACCCTCATATTAATCTTCTCACTCGCCTAATGCAAACGCACCCTTAGGGTCACCCGTATTTAAAACGACGTCCGTTACAGATCGATGTACGAATCGTACGTCATTACCCTCTAACCTTAAAAATCGACTAAAATCCCACCACCATAATCACACTAAAATATAAAACGTACAAGAGACAAAATATCCATCACTAGAATCAGTGATTCCCAGTTGTTCCCTGTATATGCCTACGTGTGTAGCCTCACTCCGTTGGCCTGTCTTCTTTCTCACACACACATGCACAAAGAACTAAACCTCCCTGCACGTGTTAGCTGGCTTACACGGAGAGAACTGTCTGCCAGTCGAGGGGCGGATTCGAGGAGGGAGTAGAATTTACAGAGGCCCTTCGAGATCCTTCAGGGAACCTTTCCTGGGGTCTGCCACTTTGGGTCTTCGCAGGCCCGCACCTTCCAACGGGATGAACGTTTGGAATAGGGGTTGCTCGACGGAAATCGTTTATACCGGATATACTGTATAGTGCTTACGTGCCTTGAGGAGCCTCTTAGGGTTTTAAGGTTACTAGACATTTTTCTTTGAGGTAATAAAGATTTTTCTTTAGGGTCATTTAGGTAATACACGGACGGTAACACTTGAACAGAGGTGAAATGGTCAATTTTGAAAATTTATTTCTGCAAATTTTTGTGTGTCTAAATTGTTTAATTTTAAAATTGAAGAATTCTAGTATTTTCATTTATTCAAATATTTCTGTATATACAAAATTTGTATATAGATAAGTAAATATAAAATTTTAGCAACTAATTGATCTTCGCATTAAGAACATAGAACTCTCAAAAAATTAATTCAGCAAGATCAAGATTTCTTATCAAGATTTAAAACCCCATCGTAAACAATAGCTGATGCAAGGATAATTTTCTTACAATTTTTATTTTTATCAAAAAATATCAGGTAAATATTTAACTAACTTTGATGAAGGTTCAGACCTACAAATGTAAAACTATCAAAATAGTATAAACCGTCCAGAATGTAAGTTTAGAAAATAAAAATGTAAAATTAATAAAGTGAAAAAAAAAATTAAACTTTCCCTTTATTTGATCCCTAATTTCAGTATAAAAATTCCACCACCACACACATATTTCTAAAAGATGTCCACAAAAATCATCAAACCTGAATTCTTCCAACCACACAATTTCTCCTCTATCCTTTACAATAAAAAATGAACGACCCAAAAAAGTTCGATAAACGTATCAATCACTTTGTCCCATTTTTCGCTGAAAAACGAGAGTGTACTCTCGGACGCCTAATTAATTGCTCTTTGTTTCGCCGAGTGGAATAACGAGCGAGAAGGAGAAATTACGGAGACTTTAATTAAACCGTTGATGAACGTAGAATGTATACCAACTGATCGCTGAAGGTTTACAGTTCAAAGAAACTGTTTATGGTTTTTTTTTTGCGCCACGTCGTACGATTTCAGGTAGAAGGAGGGCAGTGGCGTCAAGAAGGCTCTCGGGGCAGAACGGTGCGCAGGTAACTGCATTATCGACGGAGATCAGACGCTCGTAAAGGTTTCCTTATCGGCCTCCATTTCCTTTTAAGGTTGATTCCGGTGGTTGTAGATGTCGGCGTTATCGAGTCGGAAGTGCACGACTTCCGGCGCGCAAATAAACGGGAAAGAGGGTGAAGTCGATGAAAACGACCCTTATTTATGTTACTGTACCCTCCTTGTCCCTGCAATATTTATTTTGTGACAGATGTTTAACTGCAATCTTCATGTTTAGTGACAGATGTTTAAATTTCTGTGAAAGAGAATTTTTTAAGTCTGACATTTTTTGTAACTTTGAGCTTATTTGTATAATTACAGTTAATTATTGATACGATAAATTCGACCTTGCGTACAGTGTTTTAAACTGCCACAAGTAGTTAAAAATCAGGTGTTTTCATTTTTAGTAAATCTTATCAAGTATTTTCACAATTATTTTTCATACTCCCAAGAAATTTCCATATATCCAAGTACTTTTATTTCAGAGAGCGAAGAAAAATTTTCAATAACTTAGATCCAAATAAAATATGAAGTGTCCATATATGGCAGAAACGCAGATTTCCCCGGGAATTCAAAATATTCCTTATTTTGACGAGGTGTTTTGCAAGCGAGTGGCAAACACGCGTTATAAATAAACGATAAGCAAGTGCATCCTAAGGTAAAAGTGTTTGTCGCCGCATAAAATACGACACGTTGTGACGTATGTCCGCGTGCGTAAATGCTTCAGAAAATTATGGAACGCAATTTTCGCGGCGTATAAAGAAACACATCGATTCCATTCATCAAGTCGAGGAAATCATACATCTTCCAAACCTATTGAAACAATCATTCCACGCGAAATTTGTTATCTTTCGACAGAATTAAAATTCTGACAACGCAATTAAAGTTTGTATTTTTAAATCTGAAAAGTTTCGATACTTTCTTGGAGGAGGATCAAAGAAAAAAGGGTTTAGAGAGGTGCAAGTTCAGCAACGATAAGATTAAGTACACTTGGTCGACGTCAAAGCTCGACGTCATCTTGTGTGGCACGTGGTACGCGTCATCGCTTATTATTCTCACGTATACATAGATCACACGCGTATTGTGGCGCGTGATCCACGCAAGATGCGGCACCTGTTACAGCGATGCAGTCTAATCTATACATTAAAAACAGGGGACTTTTATATCCTTCAGAGTCTTAACCTCCATTTTGTATCACCCTAATGTATTCAACAGAACAATCCAAACGACAATTTTATCAAAAGTATCTTTAAATACATACAATTGTAAATCTCTTGTAAATACATACAATTGCTATGATCATCTGAAACTTCCATTTTAACTTTACAGCTCACAACTGTCATACTCAAACAACATGTGATGATGAATCATTTTATCACCTAATGATGAATTTACCTCGGTCCATATTTTACCTATGTCCAAAGTTTGTAGTTAATATTAATTTACAAGTTCCCTCTGAATTACACCTAACTCACCACATCTTCAAACCACATAAGTGAATTTTATCAAACCTTACAGTTGTAACCCTAACCACAATGAAGCAATTTTAAACCCAACTGCTAAACCAGATCTCAACTAAAGTATACAGCAGCCAGGCATACTACACAACATTCTATCTCATACTACAATAAACTGAAGCTCTACAATGTGCCTAAAAGCTCTATCAAACTCTATAACGAGAGTGAAGTGGATATCGAAATCCAAAATGCGATCATAAACGGTAACAAAGAGTTAGCGTAGCGCGACTCATTGACAGAACGTTCCCTCTCTTTATCCCGTTGGATCGTTGAACGTCGATTCGTACGGACAGAGACGAACGTTGTCCATCAGCGGGTCGTTCGCACGCAGGATCGCGAGCATGAACTCTGTGCGGGAGGCGGTGGACGGGGGCGTCCGGGCTGCGTCGGCGTCGGCGTCGGCGTTTTACGGTGTGGCGGCGGCGCGGCGGGTAGGATCGCGTCGCGGCGCCTCGCGTCAGCGTCGGTGGGACCGTCGACGGAGGCAACAGTGGTGGCCAACGCATCGCGTGAACGCGTAATCCGCCATATTGGCCGCGAAAGTCCGTCGGAGGCTGAAAGACGGCTCAGCTCGCGAAGCCGTTCGCTTCGGGGTGAAACGAGGGCGTAGCGTCAGAACCGGTGTCGTCGGTGTTAACCCGGGCAAGAGGAGGGGTGGTGGAAGAGGGCGATCTCGTGGCGAGACACGCCGAGATACGCCTCGAACGTTTTCCACGACCAGTGAAACAGGGTGAAAGACGAACGGTGACAGAGAGAGGGGGGAACAGAGACACGGAGAAGAGGGTGAAGGAGGAGGAAGTGCGTGGTTGACAGTGTTTCGAGTGCTTCGAGAAAAAGTGTCCGGTGAATCTGGATCGGTGGCTTCGACCCCGTGTACCACCCTTGGCCTACACCCCTTCGCTCGCGGGACATCTCGTTGACCCCGTTCCACCATCGAGCGGCACCCGCTCGGCGCGTCGCGATCAAAAGCGAGAGTGAACGCCTCGAATTCTCCGAAGCACGCGTAATCTCGGAGTTTGACAGCGCGTCGGAAGAGACACGTCGGAGGTGCGTCGAGTGGATCGAAATAGTGGACACGGTTAACCGGGTGGCGGCAATCTCGACGACTCGACGTTAGCTCGGTGTCCAGCGTGACAGCGCCGTGGGCTCGTCTCTCCCTCTCGTCTCGGCTTCTGCCAATCAATAACCAGCGCACCGACTCGTTCACGCTCTGCTCTCTGCCTCCCTCTCCCCCCTCTCTCTCTCTCTTTTGCGCACACACGTTCCCTCGTCTCTCCCTTATCCACCCGTGCGTCCGATCTCTCTCTGAAAAATTGCCCGGAAGCATCGAACGGGCCAGGCTCGCAACGGCGATGTTTTTCCGTTTCCCTCTTCCGTCCGACTCGCAGCGTGCCCCTCTCCTCGCGCGGTCTCTTTCGCCCCTCGTTTCCGCCGTTCGTAGCCCGCCGCCCTTTTAGAGGCGACCCGTGATCGGCATCGACGACGACAACGAGCGTCGACGACACGAGGCGAGGCAACGTCGCGACGGACGAGCAGCCAGAGAGGCGGCGG